ACTCCAGCAGCACTATTTGATACAGACACTTACAAAAGTGGACAGACTTACACATTTTCCCATGGGTTCGAAGCCTGGGCATGGTGATAGATGATAGAAAGTGTGGACTAAGGCGCTATATATATATATAACGTTCGAGCCTGTCAACACAACCAGTTCATCTAACAGTCATAACGGGACTGAAGGAGGCGTCACGTTCAACACAAACTACTGACGACTTGGGCACGTAGTCGACCTTCCGCTATTTATCATGGCTAATGTCCAATTACTGCCTTCTTTATCGGCGCAAATAACCACGGCAAGACACAACATTACACTCCCAGCACGTCGCATTTCATAAGCACGAAGGTTCAATTATTCGTCAACCATTACGCTCTCTCTCTCTCTCTCTCTCTCTCTCTCTCTCTCTCTCTCTCTCTCTCTCTCTCTCTCTCTCTCTCTCTCTCTCTCTCTCTCCTGTTTCCCTGAATCTCATCCTTTTCTGACTGTATCCTTCCCTACATTTCTAAGTCATCCCTCCAGATTTTCTCCCCTAGGTCACCTGGATCAACCGGATATGGAACAAGTTCGTGTCTTGTTTTTTCCCCAATGCGTCTATAACGTCCCGCGCTATAGTGAACTGGTATTATTACTATCCATCACTGGACGTGATGGAGGTTAAAGTACAGGAGTTTCTAACGCCACTCTCGTCCAAGGCTCCTTGTAGCCCTCCGGAACGCCTCCGCTGACACCCCCGTCTCATAAATCGACGGTAAAATGAGTGGCATTAGAGCGTGTTGTACGTGTCGGCGCTGCGTCACGTCAGACGACGTCCCGTCGCGTCAGGCGACACGACTCACTGCGTGAAACGACACGACCCACTGCGTCAGACGACACGTCAGTCCTCCACGGCAGCCGCGGTGACCCGATTCTCAGTTCTCGCGTGTTGAGACAGACAGACACCCGCCTCAGTCTGCTCCAGCTGACGTATGTCATTCTCCGTCAGGTCATGATTTTGTGGCAACAATAATAGTGTGCTGAATCCATCACCATTTTAACAGTTTTTATACAAACTGTTGTTCGAATCATATATTATTATTACAAGCAACTGACAGAATTAATCATTATTCTTTCATACAACTGACGGAATCAATCATTATTCTTACAAGCAACTGATAGAATTAATCATTATTCTTACAAGTAACTGACAGAATTAATCATTATTCTTTCAAGCAACTGACAGAATCAATCATTATCCTTTCAAGCAACTGACAGAATCAATCAATATCCTTTCAAGCAACTGTCAGGATCAATCATTATTCTTACAAGCAACTGTCAGAATCAATCAATATCCTTTCAAGCAACTGTCAGGATCAATCATCATTCTTACAAGCAACTGTCAGAATACATCATGCTTTCAAGCAGCTGCCAGAATCCGTCAGATCCCCTGATAAATACTGCGAATAATTTTGATATCCACACAATCTACCTTCACAACTGTGTAAATTGCCTTCAATTTACAACAATTGCTTAGCTAATAATGCTAATTACCCCCGCATTTACAAAAATTACTCATATAGCTGTATATTACTTTGGTAAGTCCGTAAGTGGTCTTAATTACTCTATGATTTACAGACACATTTTTGCAATAATCAGTTGGTGTATTTTCTTCTGTTATTTATGTCAGATAAAAAAAATCAACAATTGCATCAATTACTCACTAATGCTATATAATACTTTCCCACCCCACATCACCATCACCCGTTGATGAACTGGTGTATATATATGGTAGTGACAATAAGTGTATATCTATGCAGTGTATAATGCTTACACTGTATAGATGTTTCAGTTAACTACCTGGACAATCAGTTCATTGATGCCTGCAGTAATTACCAGGGCAACGTTCACTGATGTGTTTGGATTCCAGTGGTGTCAGTTTGGGCTCCAGTGGTGTGTGTTTGGGTTTCAGTGGTGTCAGTTTGGGCTCCAGTGGTGTGACTTTGGACTCCAGTGGTGTCAGTTTGGGCTCCAGTGGTGTGAGTTTGGGCTCAAGTGGTGTCAGTTTGGGCTCCAGTGGTGTCAGTTTGGGCTCCAGTGGTGTCAGTTTGGGCTCCAGTGGTGTGAGTTTGGGCTCCAGTGGTGTGAGTTTGGGCTCCAGTGGTGTGAGTTTGGGCTCCAGTGGTGTGAGTTTGGGCTCCAGTGGTGTGAGTTTGGGCTCCAGTGGTGTGAGTTTGGACTCCAGTGGTGTCAGTTTGGGCTCCAGTGGTGTCAGTTTGGACTCCAGTGGTGTCAGTTTGGGCTCCAGTGGTGTCAGTTTGGGCTCCAGTGGTGTCAGTTTGGACTCCAGTGGTGTCAGTTTGGGCTCCAGTGGTGTCAGTTTGGGCTCCAGTGGTGTCAGTTTGGGCTCCAGTGGTAAGTTTGGACTCCAGTGGTGTGAGTTTGGGCTCCAGTGGTGTCAGTTTGGGCTCCAGTGGTGTCCAGTGGTGTGAGTTTGGGCTCCAGTGGTGTCAGTTTGGGCTCCAGTGGTGTCAGTTTGGGCTCCAGTGGTAAGTTTGGACTCCAGTGGTAAGTTTGTACTCCAGTGGTAGGTTTGGACTCCCTTGGGGTAATTACACTAAAGTATTTTATAAGCCCTTAAAAGGGCTTCTTGGCCCTTCATGAAATCTCTTCTTGTTCTTCAGTGTATAAAAGCTGCAGCGGCATTTACATTCATCTCCGCTACCGGAATTGTCAACATCAATCTCTCGGGTTATCACTGTGTGTATTAGCATTGCAAATTACTGCCACCAATTATTATATCTCTGATACAAGACGCTGTTAATGGCATGGCAATTGAGCAACTCCACCTGCAGGTATGCAGCTGCCAGCATCACTTTCGTCTTTGCAATCAATGCAACAATTATCAATGATTACACCACTTACCTGATTAGAATCACGTGTGTCACCATCATCTCCACCGTCCAAGTAATCAACACATCAAAAAATCACTATCCCTCATCATCAGCTTAGTTGATTAGCACTATCAATTACACTTATCACCTCCACTACGCAGGTACTCAACACCATTAACATCACTATCACCTTCACCACCCTGCTCACCACCACAATCAATATTACATCATCTTTACCACCACCACAGCACCACACACATTAAACCACCACACACCACAAATTTATTATTTATCAACTGATTAGCACCACACACTAAAAACACCATCACCACCACCATTGTCACCCCAGACGTCTCTATCATGGAGGGGGCCTCGTAGCCTGGTGGATAGCGCGCAGGACTCGTAATTCTGTGGCGCGGGTTCGATTCCGGCACGAGGCAGAAACAAATGGGCAAAGTTTCTTTTACCCTGAATGCCCCTGTTACCTAGCAGTAAATAGGTACCTGGGAGTTAGTCAGCTGTCACGGGCTGCTTCCTGGGGGTGGAGGCCTGGTCGAGGACCGGGCCGCGGGGACACTAAAGCCCCGAAATCATCTCAAGATAACCTCAAGATAACCCTCCACACCGACCCAAGCATCATCCCACATCTCCCCAAACCATCATCATCCCTCTCCCCTCTACCCCCTAGCCTCTCCCCTCTCCCCACATACCACCACCTCAAACACCTGCAACATCCAACATTATAAACACCTGCATAGTCTGGGGAGAGTAATTACCACCTGCATCCTGTTCACCCAAGTCTCCTGCAGGCTGACATTACTCTCACCTCCTCAGACAATGATAATGATTTTTCCTTCTCAGGCAGTTGGGTGACAGCACTTCCTGCAGAGGTGTGCATGTTGATGAGGTGTGCCGGCGTGTATCCTGGCGTCGTAGACGTCATCGTTGACGTATGTGACGTATCGTTGGCGACGTAAGGGTAGTAACAGTTTACTACATTAATTGCAGGTATCGCCACTGAAGCCCTCCTGCGTTCGGGTATTGTTTTAAACCAGTGGTAGCTGGGGAGAAAGAAATGAATGGTGAAAGAAAGGTACGAAGACAATGGGAGGGAAGGATGTGTGGATAGAAGGATGGGGAGAAAGGGGAAGGAGAAATCGACGAAGGAGAGGATAGAGGAGAATGATGGTAAATATAAGAAAAACATACTTCACTACACGATCTACTGTAAAGCAGTACTGATATGATTGCTCCATTATCTTGCATATGTAACAGACACAGACAGATACAGAGCGACAGAGAGAGCAAAATACTAAGACAGACACAGAGACAGAGACAAAGCTCCCGAGAAAAGCAGTGAAAACAGACAGGTGGGCTCAGACAAGCTGAGACAGAACACATAAATTGAGAAGCAATTATCAGTCCACAAAGTGGCCTCGCTTCACGTTACGACACTAATCTTCACTTTATTTGACGTCGACTGGATAATAATGTTTAAAATTACACCACTTACAACGCCTCCAGATGGCTTGCTATACGAACAAAGACATAACTAGTAAAGGTTTGGTTTTTTAGTAGTCAATAATGTAAAATTTTATTTCAAATGAAACGTAGTTTTAACAAAATGTCTGAGCACCTCTTGTGTAAATAATAATGACGATAATATTACTAATAAAATTTATAATAATAGTACTAATAATAATAATAGTGAGAATAATACTTTACCACTGTACCATCGTAAGTTGTCAAAAAATGGCATATAACCGGATTTCAACTGAAATCACAGGAACTCTGGAGTCCTTTAATGAAGCTAGTCCAAGTTTTCATGTACTCAATACGCCCCAACTTTAGATACACACACAGAATATATGGCAATGCCTTGTTCGCAGGTTCGCTCCCTTCTCACAGCCCCAGTGGATTTTCCCATTGATTCCAAACCACAAAAATCAGCAGCCCAGAACTCCACCTACTGAGCTACTAGCACCCGCAACAGAGAAGGATTCCAGAGACACCTATCTGCTATCCAACTAGAACTTTACACCTTTGCAAAGGTCCCACTTGGGAATAATGAAGCCCCTTTGACAAATTTCCATCATACCTTAAAAGAATATGTGATATATAACCACAGACATGGAGAATTTTCTCAATAGACCACCGGTTAGTTAGAAATATGCGGCCCAGGAGCTGAAACTCGTTCGTGTATAACTGATTACGTTATCAGGTAAGCACAACGTCATACACTGGGACTCAACACACACACACACACCAAAATAAAAAGGAGTGGCAGGGAGGTGGGTCGTGTCTCTCTCATACACCGCGTGTATACTGCTGATTAGTATAACCAGTATAACTGATATAACTGTCATTAGGCGATGATAACAGCGTCATCAGTCGCGGACACAGCCTGTTATTTGGGCTGTTATTATGCCATAAAGAGCCAGTAAAGTGGACAGAAAAATCCTTCATAATCCTCCCTGGCGAGGTCCAATGCTTTCATCACTTTCTCTTTCTTTCTCTTTTTCTGTCCTTCTGCTGGGTTTACTGTCTGTGTGTTTGTCTGTCAGTGTTAGTCTGTACCTTTTGTATCTCTCTCTCTCTCTCTCTCTCTCTCTCTCTCTCTCTCTCTCTCTCTCTCTCTCTCTCTCTCTCTCTCTCTCTCTCTCTCTCTCTCTCTCTCTCTCTCTCTCTTGTAATTAGCTACGGTATAAATGATTTTTATTTTCATTGATATATTGTAAATGTAAATAAATTATATATTGTATAATGTAAATGTAAATTGTAAATGTAAATCTTTACGACAGTCTGGTTACTATTAAATATTTTGTATTAGTTTCTTGGAGATGTTTATGGGGTTGTGAATGAGCGGTGTATGGCGCAGTGGGCTGACTCTATATTTACTTATTTGTGCCTGCAGGACCGAGCTGCTAGCTCTTGGACCCCGCCTTTCTAACCCGTTGCAGTTAGTGTAAGTCTGTGTATGTGCATTCGTCGACACTATAAAATTTAGGGATTTTTTTTTCTTTCTACCTATTCCCCCTTTTACAGGCATACCCCCTTTTCTTTCCTTCTCCTTCCCTCCCCTCCTTCCCTCTCTTCCATTCTTCCTTCCTCATACTCACATATGAAGCTCTGCAAATGTGCATGCGTGCCTCTAGTGCCTCTCCCGTGACTGACAGATGATTGATGGCGGTATCAATTCCATGTTATTTCCGCTATGGCTCAATCCTGCACACATGCACCGACACTGATCCGCTTCCAACTGGTGCTCAATAACTTCCACTTTCTTCTAAAGCAATTACTTATAGATTTACACCTCTGCCAAACATGTTAATCATGAATCGGATATATTTTGTAAGTGACAGTTTATTTCTACTTTTACTACCACTTAAACTACTACTCTTTCTACTTCTACTACTTCTACTACTACTACTACTACTACAGTTTCTACTACTACTACTGCGTTACAAAAACTACTCTACTATTACTACTAATAATAATCATATTTATCATAAATATATAATGTTCATAATAACAATATCAACCTATGATCTTCTTGAGGTTATCTTGAGATGATTTCGGGGCTTTAGTGTCCCCGCGGCCCGGTCCTCGACCAGGCCTCCACCCCCAGGAAGCAGCCCGTGACAGCTGACTAACACCCAGGTACCTATTTTACTGCTAGGTAACAGGGGCATAGGGTGAAAGAAACTCTGCCCATTGTTTCTCGCCGGTGCCTGGGATCGAACCCAGGACCACAGGATCACAAGTCCAGCGTGCTGTCCGCTCGGCCGACCGGCTCCCTGTGATCATTATAATAACACAACCCTTAACAACAATAATTAACAGCATTCCAATTAATAAAGTTAATTACAATAATAAAAACCCGTATTAAAAAAAAATAACATATGACAATTATCATTAAAATATCACACGGGAAATAAAATATTAAATTAAGAGTCAGCACCTAATGAGTATCTCAGGTGTAAATCCGTTCATCCTGTTAATCCACTCAATTAACACCCAATTATCATCAGATTAACCCATGAGTTTTTAACCTTTTTAGCTTGAGAGGAGAGAGAAAAAATATCATCTCCGTCCTCCTGCAGTAGAAGGAAAATATCAGCAGGAAAATAGATTATATCTTATATAGTTATATATATATATATATAATTATATCTTATAAATTATATCAGCAGGTAAATAATTATACCCTGTTGTTCCGGATGTCAATCATTGCATGCAACAAAAATTATAAATCATCCATAAACGTCTAAATATTTCCTTGGATGGCGGAAGGGGGGTCGGAGAAGATGGAAGGGGGGTGGATAGGGGTTTGGAGAGGGGAGGGGAGAGTGGAAGAGGTTAATGTGAGAGGGGGGGTAGAGAAGGAGGTTAGACATTGAAATGGGTCGAGTGAGAGAGGGTTGAGGATAGGAGAAAAGCAGGGAGAGGGGTGATTTGGAGGGAGTTGAGAGTTGCTATGGGAGAGAGTGAGTGGGGGGAAATGGGAAAGGTGGGATGGGAAAAGGAATGGAGAAGAGGGAGAGGTTATATTACCGTTACATCAATTACTACTATACGCACCACTCCGTCACACCACCACCACAACACCCCCAACCCGTTCTCGCATTTTTGTATAGTCAATATTGACTTATTAAAGTGCGAGAACGGGTAGACACCCCCACTAAACCACCACCACAACACCCCACCCCACCACCACACCACCACAACACCCCACCCCACCACCACACCACACCACCACCACAACACCCCACCACCACCACACAACACCCCACCACACCACCACCACAACACACCACAACATCACCCCCCCCCCCACCACCACACCACAACACCACCCCACCCACACCACACCGCCACACACAACATAGCGTGCAGCACGGGGCGCACATCAAGGCGAAGACGGTGGTCGGACAGTCATTAACATGGTCACACTGACGGGACTCTCCCGTCGACGCCAAACATTATCACCATCAGTTAAAGCTCCGCCCAGGTAACCTTAATGGCTCCTAAAAACAATAATATCAGTATGTGAGGCAGAATTTGTACCGTTCCTGCAAGTCCTTAATTAGGGAACCACCTCATTAGGGAGAGTATTTTATCCCGAATGGGAACTAAACAACTCGTTAATGATGTTACCACGTAGGAAAGAATGTATTTATTGGGAGATAGAGATAATGATATATATATATATATATATATATATATATATATATATATATATATATATATATATATATATATATATATATATATATATATATATATATATATATCGGGGGGTACCACCACTGGTGCAATTATAGGGACCCACAGCCTTAGAGAAGGGAACACAGAGCATTCAGGGAAAAACTTGCTATTTAACTCTGAATACGTAAGAGTGTTCGCTTCTCCTACCACCTCCCTTTTATATATATATATATATATATATATATATATATATATATATATATATATATATATATATATATATATATATATGCACGGAATTATCAATAGCATTTATTACATGATTACATTATTGCCGCAAATAACCGCATTGAAAGGTGAGGGAATGCTAAGTCTTTTCAACCCAGCAAGTGACCTTCTTTAGCGAATGATAAAATCAGACCAGGAATATTGACCTCCTCCTTCTCCTTTCAGCACCTGTAAATATATTGTTATTGAAATAGAACATTCTCTGTAACTAGCTGTCATTGTAATTATAAGGTGTGAAGGATAGATGAAATTGTTAATGTAATAATCTCCGTTGAGGTCTGATAAAGACCTCTTGGGCCCCTCTGTAATCCTTTTTGCGCTACGGCTCACAGGATGAGTATAGGGTGCACAATAAACTAGCCGCCCCTTTTCCCTATTCCCAACCTTCCTCACACTCCATTCATACTCCCTTCCCTATTTCACACTTTTCTTCCCATCTCCGCCTCAAACTCCCCATCTCCTTATCTCAATTTCCTTTTTGTCATACCATCTTCCCTCACCTCCTTTTCCTACCTTCCTCACACTCATCCCACATCATTCTACCTCACATCCCCTTCCCCCCCCCCCCTTCCCTCACCTCCCTTCCTACCTACCTACCTACCTCCCCCTTCCCATCACCTCCCTATCTCACACCCCCAAACCACAGTCGGAACTTCACAAAAGATAAACTCGACCCAAAAAAACTTAACCATAAATTAGCCTCGTTGCTTCAACTTGGTCAGGAAACGTCATTACCTGTTACAACCGAGCCTCGTCGTTGGCCCTGCATAATGGGTGATTTTATGGCCGTTTTATGACGACAAATCACTATTTAAACAAGTACCGCCAGTTACGAACCCCCTCATATAGCACTGCAAATTCGATAATTACCGTTGGTAGCCTCGTTACAGACGTCATAAACTACAGCTGTATGCAAATCAGGCCTGATGGCGGATTTATGGGCCGTGCTGATGAGAATTTACCGGCAGTTTTACTCGAAAATGATAAATATGTTAATAATTGAACTATTAGGCTAATCTTCTATAATTAACCCGGAGGAGGTCTTTCGGGGGGAATATTGCTGGAGCATGCCACTTGTGGTTTGTGGCAACAAGGAGAGACAATTGTTGTGAGGGCCTCAGGTGGGAGACACTTCAAGAGGCATCAGCAGTGAAGGGTCTCTGAAGTTAGACACTTTAAGAGACAACAGTGGAAAGGACTCTGAAGTTAGACACTTTAAGGACAACAGTGAAGGGACTCTGAAGTTAGACACTTTAAGAGACAACAGTAAAGGGTCTCTGAAGTTCGACACTTTAAGAGACAACAGTGAAGGGACTCTGAAGTTAGACACTTCAAGAGACAACAGTGAAGGGACTCTGAAGTTAGACACTTCAAGAGACAACAGTGAAGGGACTCTGAAGTTAGACACTTCAAGAGACAACAGTGAAGGGACTCTGAAGTTAGACACTTTAAGAGACAACAGTGAAGGGACTCTGAAGTTAGACACTTCAAGAGACAACAGTGAAGGGACTCTGAAGTTAGACACTTCAAGAGACAACAGTAAAGGGTCTCAGAAGGGAAACACTCCACCTTGACGATGTTAAGCTAATCTTTCACTCCAACACACTCATCCTCTTCCTCTTCCCATTTACCTCCCTCCACTACCAATCTCTCATCCTCTGCTTCTTTTTTTTACCCTTCACACTCTCTCCCTCTCCACTTTCCTTCCTCTCTCTCTCTCTCTCTCTCTCTTCCCTGCTCTCCCTCTCAATCTCTCTACCTTCTCCCACATCCCCGTCATTAATCAACAAAGAGAGTCCCCCACAAAAAAGAGCCCCTCGAATGATTGATGCGATTCTGAACACGAAAAAGCGAACAGTGAGACACTGGTCCTTTAGCATAATTCAGTCCCCACCGTACAGGAATGATGGACAGTCGGAAGGTTCACGACACACCTATAAATTCTCGATTCCTGGAGTCCAATAGTTTGGAGTTCTGGAAATTTGAGCCGAGGACATCTGTAATGCTTAAAGTATTATTTATATATATATATATGGCTAGTGACAGCCATGTCAAGCATGGCTGTCACTCAACTACCACATACATCAAGTCTGCAGCGACAATGAGCCGTGTGTGAGACAGCAGTAAAGTGGTGGTTCAGACTCACGCTATATGATCATCACTCTTATGTTCTCGTGGCAACGCTGGGCTCTGGCGAGTCACCCTGGCTCCCTCCCAGTCACTCTTGCTTCACCCTGGCCCCTCTCCCAGTCACTCCTTGTCTGAATCACCCTGCCACCCTCCTAGACTCCCCTGCTTTTTCTGATTCATCCTGCTACTACATCCGGCTGTTAGGCGTCTAACAGCCTGGTTGATCAGTCCAGCAACCAGGAGGCCTGGTCGACGACCGGGCCGCGGGGACACTAAGCCCCGGAAGCACCTCAAGGTAACCTCAAGGTACTGTCTACTTAATGATTCAGCTCTATTTCTGTTACATGGTGTTCGTCTCTTGGGCCTTTCACCGTAGATTGGCAATATTCCTTAAAAGTGTGATATTCAGCTGCCTCAACTTGCTGGGAAAGCGTGACTCCTTCTACCTCAGATAGCGACTCTTTTTTTTTATTTGTGAGATCATCAATTGGTGATCAACGCAAACAGTCGCCTCAGCAACTTCCACCAAACTGTTGTGGGTGGTGGTTCTGTGCACAGACTGGCTCTAGTTCTTACTGCTACTCTGAACATATTATATGAAATATATTCTAGTTATAACACAAATGAACCCATTGAACCTTTTAGATTGACTTACATGCTGTTATATATCACCTATGTATGCTGTTTTGTCTGGTACATAAGCAATAAGTTTTTCAATAAGATCGTCGAGGATGACGATAGTAGTAGAGGACCATCAAGACCGTTGACCCTGCTAGGTCAACGGTCGTTTACATTAGATGGCAACCCCCCCCCCCTATGGGAGCCGGTCGGCCGAGCGGACAGCACACTGGACTTATGATCCTGTGGTCCTGGGTTCGATCCCAGGCGCCGGTGAGAAACAATGGGCAGAGTTTCTTTCACCCTATGCCCCTGTTACCTAGCAGTAAAATAGGTACCTGGGTGTTAGTCAGCTGTCACGGGCTGCTTCCTGGGGGTGGAGGCCTGGTCGAGGACCGGGCCGCGGGGACACTAAAGCCCCGAAATCATCTCAAGATAACCTCAAGATAACCATCCTTTTAGTGTGTTCATCTACTGCTGTTCAACATTGTCATCACCGACCATAACTACCAGCAAGCTGGCCTTCAGGGCGGTTCTGTGGTCTCACTATAGTAAGGATCAGGGGATTCCTGTAGTCGTGTAACTAGGGTATATTGTATTATATAAAATAATACGCCTATTTGGATATTTAACAACAACATTCTTTAACTCAAGATGTGACACTCCCAGTCTTCTATCTCATCATTTGTCTATAAATCATCCTGAATCATCTCAATCATCCCTAATGTCTCTCTATTCCATTTCCCTATTTCTATCCATTCATCCCCAATTTTTTAAATTGTTTTATATCCCTTTTTTCCCAAATCATTGAGTGCTTCCCACGAATTGTTTATATATTTCATATATCCCTCTTTCCTCCCTCTTTCCCAGTACTCAGTCCTTAAATAACCCATCACAATGTATGTCGGAAGTAGCTTGTAATATTAAATGGAATGTAATTTTTGCCAATGATAATAATTCTTGTATAAAATTTGTGTGGATCCCATCCCATGTTGGAGTTGAAAAACATGACTTTGTAGATCAATTGGCCAATGAGGCTTGCAGGAAAGAAAACATTGATTATGACTTTGGACTATCTAATGCAGTTATTAGAAACATACAAATTAAAGAAATTAATTCAGATTTAGAAGAACTAAGAAATGCACAGAGACCTGAAAGCTGCAGTATTAAAAGTTATGACAAGTTCTGTAATAATAGGTATTTGTATGGTCAGCACAGTAATCGGACCAGGCAATGTGATGTAGTCATTGCGCGAATTCGCCTTGGCTATAGACACATCTGGCAGGTTAGTGAGGCTGAGCCACTACCAGAATATTCAGATTGTAAACTCTGTGATAAACCTTTAATGCATTCACTAGAACACTATATTGATGAATGTGAAACCGTAAAGGACTTTAGACCTCCTGGCCTATTGTACCACCAACTGTGAAACTATTTTATTGACTCAGGTGTTCTGGACGACATCCTAACAATTTACCCAAAATTTGCTTGTCCATTTTAAAGAATGAAGAACAATTTCTATTTATACTCTAAGCTGCATCACTTATGAACCCATCCCTGCCCTTGTGTGGCAGTGCACAATAGAAAGTTGTTTTCACATATCCACACATTAAAACATTGATAGTAACCGTGATATATATGTGCTTCAGCCTACAGTTTAGACCTATTGTCTTATGTATGACCCTCTGTCCTGCGTGACAGTGAATACTAGCATTAACCTCAATTTAATAAGACTATCAAAATCCTCAGATTAGGCAAAATTGTAATTAATTTTGTCAATAAAGATGTTAATAATAATAAGTACTCTTCCACCCCTCCAATGCCAACAGAGGAGGTGGCTATCCTGGTCTTACAATGGCCTGCAGTAACTAACATGATGTTTCAACTCCTGCGCTGTGGTTAAAACGAGGAATTCGAAACAGGAACCTCCTTCCCCCTACTAAATGTCCTCAAAATGTACTGGAATATAATAAAAGGGGTTTAGAAGACATGGTATTAATCATGTCAGACGAACTTACTTAGTTGACCAATCCACACACTAGAAAATGAAGGGACGACGACGTTTCGGTCTGTCCTGGGCCATTCTCAACTCTTGAAAATGGTCCAGGACGGACCGTAACGTCGTCGTCCCTTTACTTTCTAGTGTGTGGATTGGTCGACATACTACAGCCACGTTATTGTGATTCCTCTATAACTTACTATCCAGAACACAATAAATCAGCTGGTGGAGAAGTTATTGTCACCTGGAGAACGTTCAGAGAACTTTCATGCCACCCAATTTCCCTCCCATAATTTATGCATTTTCCATATTCCTTACATCCCATTTCTATCGTTTTTCATCTGTATTAAATCAAACCCCCTATACCATAGCCTTGGTCACATCTATCCATTTCCCCTGTCCTTCCTGTTAGCTCTTTCCTTTCCATATCCTCTTTCTATACCATCTATCCTCTCTCCACTCCTTATCTTTTCTTATCTGTCCTTCTTTCTCTCCATTACTCTCCTATTTCCTCATACCTCTTAACTCTTCTCCCCCTCTACCGCTTTCATTCACTACCAGTGAATGTAATTAATCATTCACCTCAACACCAACTCACCCAATGTTTCATAATGGTTCACCTCGACCCCTTCTCCCCCCACTGTAACCCCAACATTTGCTCCCCCCCACCTGAATGTTTATCCCCCCCCCCTATCCCCTCCCCACTAAACATACAACCCTATGCCCGACGGAACCCTAATATGATTAAAAACCCAAGAACACCCCCAACCGGACCCCCCCCCCCTGCCCACACGAGAAGTAAACACACACGGGTTCCCCCCTACCCCAGTTGGGAGGGGGATCGAACTTGCTGTCATCCACTGAAGCACAAGAGGAGTTATAAATTACAGGAAATGACAGACAAATCCACACTACACGGTGATTGATATGCAAGAACGGTCAGTCTGGCGTCAAGTGAGGAGGGGGGGTGTGGAGGTGGTATTGGGGGTATGGAGGGGGTGGAATTGGAGGTGTTGGGGTGGAATGGTGGGGAAGGGGGGTGGAATTAGGGGGTGTATAGCGGAATTAGGAATGTAGGTGGGTGGAATATGTATATAATATTGTATCCTGTATGTTTGTATGTCCGAGGATAGAGGGCCAGATGCTTTGGGGGGAGGCAGCCTTATTAGACTTTGCAGAGTGACTGGTATGGGCTAGGGGACTGTCATTGGAGGGTTGGGATCAGCCCCATTGACCTCTTCCATGACATGGTCGGCTTCCATGGCATCCCCATGAAATCGATAGAGATGAAACATTAGGTACATCAGGTACATGCGGGTTCGAATCCTTCTCACGGCTCCTACTGATTTTACCATTAATACATCATGTTAATGTTTCTCAGTGATCTATCACGTTATTGTATTTTCTCTGTGTATTAATTTATGGATTAACATTAATTAATATGAATTAATATTAATTTATATTAATTAATACTGTCCATTACTATTAATGGTATTATTATTAGTATTGTGGTAGATATTGTTGTGGTTGGTTGTTGTATTATAAATTGTAATATAATCAATGATTTCATCGTTATCCTGTAGTGTTATCATGCGTGTTATCTGTAATGGAGTTATAATTTATCCATTAGACTTTTAATACACTTCTCATTTTCTTAACTGTCTTCATGGTTGCTATAACTTATTATTTTAATAACAATAAGTCAGCTCCTGTCTCTTATGACGTGTGAGTTATTTGTGTCTTTGTCTGGGGAGAGTCTGGGGAGAGTCTGGGGGGAGTCTGGGGGAGAATCTGGGGGGAGTCTGGGGGAGAATCTGGGGAGAATCT